GCAGCCCACTCCCGAGTGGCACTGCTCCCCCCCCCCCGGCTCGCGCCTCTTATAGCCCGGGATGGGTCACGTGGGATGGAATGCCGCCCCCTGCCGCATCCCTGGGGAGATTAACCCCATCCCTGCCGCAACCGGGACAGCTGGAATAACACCTCTTACAGGAAGACTTTGGTGCGCCTTACTGACCTACGTATAAGCACAGCCACTCTCCCTCAATCCTTGCAAACTCTAGCACAGGAAAGAAAACAAATGTTCAGCTGTAAACACAGGGTGGAAGCAATCAAGCAGAGTAGGTAGTACATTCCTCATGGCTTAGGAAGCCCTAAACCAATGCTGCATGTATTTTAAAAAATGGTATACTCCCACTGAAATGCAAGCTATTTATTTTAAACAGGACATAGGGTGAAACTGTATTTGATGATCAATGGTGCTTTATGGTTGGAGAGAAGAAAAGGCAGAAGAAAACTTTGCATCACAGCCACCAATTGTACTACATATACAAAGGCCAGGCCTAACTTCTTGTCTTTAAAGCACAACCAAGGGAGGCGTTTGTTTAGGACACCTGTATCAACACATTCCCCAGGCAGGATTTTATTGTCTTGTTTCAAAATTTAATTTTAATTTTTTTTAATCCCCCCCCCCAAATTTATAAAAGCATGTATTTTAAGCAGTGTTGAGTGCATGGTTTATGATGAGATACAGAATTGTCAGCTGCTCCCCTTTATATATACACTAAGTGGCTGAGCCCCCGATCTGTATTACACCCCCCACATATACTTCCTTATAGACAAGGAGAATCACAACCAAAAAAAAGCTCCCTAAAACACATTTGCTCCATGCAGTATTGTATATACAATGACAGTCTATAAGGTACTACAAATATTTTTTTAAGAAATTAAATACTGGCACAAATATCACTGCCATAGACTGAACCCACTCCTACCACGGAAACAGAGTCTGAGAAACAGCACGCTAAGGAGAAATCCCTAAACATCCATGACAACAGTTTGACTTCCAAGTGAGCTGTTACATGTATCAAAAATATAGAGGTTTTTCTCCCAACATTCATCCCACATCCTAATTCCTATTACTGACGTTCTACTTCTAACTCCTATCTAGTCTTATGCCTAGGAAGTAATGTAGATGGGAAGCCAGTGAGGGAATGTAGTTCTCACTTGTCAATTACAAAGCATACAAAATTCCTTATGAAAAGGTTAAAATCGGCATTCAGTCTAATGTGCAAACATCCAGTTTACAACAGTTCTGAAGTCTTCCCACGTGGCATTTGTGAACTTTTAAATCTGTCCATATGAATCTTTTTTCCTTTGCTTTCTTTAACAGAGTTCTAAATGAGAGCATACCGAAGGAAAATTGATTAGCCTGTTGATTTCCAAAATGAGAAGCAGAAGTTCTTCAACTCTGAAGGTAAACTAGTATTTTCTTCAAGTAGAGGCAGGATATCATCTGTTGTGAACTTTACCCCTTTTTTAAAAAAAATAAAATGTAAAGGTCCTACAATTTGAAAAAAATACAGCCCTTTAAAACAGTCACTTAATCTCTTATCCCACACAGCATATTCCCACTAAACAAAAGCCCTCTACACATCAAAGCGCTTCCAATTCTACAGGAGTTAACGGTCATTTTCGTATCATATGTTTTAGAAAAAAATGCAATCATTATCCCCCCAAAATGAAGGGCTGTCTATAGTTTGGTAAAGTAAAATGAGTAATAATTACCTCCCTAATACCAAAATATACAATTTCAGAAAACTGTAAACTACTACTACCTGCCAGATTTCCCTCTTGGTTCTCAGAATTCAGAATTGCTTTTAGACTAGTTGTGGTTACCTGTTGATAAAAATCACCCTGACAACAAAAATGCTACACTCACTGCTGTGGTTTGGGCCAAACCAGCCACTGAATGACAGATACTCCCCCCAGTACCTGCCTTCAAAGAGAGAGGCAGGAGAGAGAACAAGAGATACTTAAGAGTTTAGAAGGAACTAAACTACTTTAATGGAATATTAATAGTAAAATAAAAAGGAAAGAATGAAATATATACAAAACCATATCAAGCTCCCAGGATGACAATTCTGTCACCGGCTGGTACTGGGGCAGTCCCAGGCCGGACTCAGTGACGGACAGCAACTGGATTTCGGATCTGGATTCAGGAGCAGGACCAAAGGCAGACAGAGTCCTCCTCAGACACTGGCCATTGAAGGAAGAGGGCTGATTCTTTGATCCCTCAACTTTTATACTGAGCATGAGGCAGATGGGATGGAATACCCCGTTGGTCAGTTTTGGGTCACCTGTCCTGTCCGCTCCTCCCCACAGGTGAGACCACTCTACGCTTTTCTGCTTCCGACCCTCTAACAGGGCATGTAACCAAGTTGGCTGCCCTTGGGTGTTACATCAATAAGTATAAGCAGGAGCCTCTCTGCATACCATGCCTGGGCATCAGCTATAAACATTGGTCTTATCACTCTGAGAGTGAACAGTGTCTGCACAATATGCTGTTGATTTCAGTAGTTAGAAGAGGCCTAGCTAAAAAGTAAAGTTACTGAAGAAAATTGGTCCTCTTTTACCTCAAACCAGGACACTCAGTAAGACAGTCTATTGATAACTGTGATGCAGTATTAGTTCGAAAACACATGGGCTTATTAGTTCAAAAATACAGACTTCTACAACACTGAACAGTATGCACTGACGTATAAGATAACAATTTCTTACATTTTTGTCTTTCAGTGATAACGTCTCCCAAGATCAGGTTTTTTTCTCAGAACTTCTTCATCTGTCTGTAGTATTTCTGACATGCTTTCCATAGCAGATCTCTCTTCCTTACTCCTCTTTTTATAGGATCCTTTATAGGTTCAGGTTTTTATACCAGATTCATTCAGTAGCTGATAAATACGAAAAATACTTAATACACTTGGGATGTTCTGGAAAGTACTGGTCTGGCACAGCATTGTATTCTACTCTGGTTTTGCTTGCAGTAAAGCATTATTCTCATTTCAGATTCCAGTGATTCTGTTCCATGCACTGCATCCAAATGTAGCAGGATTCAAGTATTTTTATACTCCAACTTTATACACACTGCAGCAAGCACCCACTTTCACCTATTGTAATTGTGCATATTGTTTACTTCAAGACATAACAAATACTAATAAGAAATCTTAGGTTTTAGGATATAAGAAAGTAACAGAATGTTTTCCTCAGATTGCAAAACATCTCCCTTCAAAAGCCTGTTCTGCAGACACAGAATAGCAGTCCTATATGCATACTTTATAGAAGATAAAGGAATGGGATAGTGCCAGCATGTAAAAATTGATTATTTTACTATTAAAATCGTTTTAAGGTATTTTGCCTGTCTTGGGAACAGTAACATCAGAGGTAACTATTCTGCCTCTGTTCTCTGTTACTGCTATATTTTTCAAGGGACTGCATGTCAACCAGAAAACGTACATAAAACAGATGGCATATTACAGAAAACTTGTAGCACCATCACCAGATCTATTACAGAAGACAGCAAATTAATTATAAGAGCACTTATACTATTTACATATCTGCACACTAATCTCTGACGTATTTACAGAATAAAAAGAACTACTAGTTGGTACGCAAATTGCAAATGTTTATAACTGCTAAGAAAGTATGTCATCTGTGACTAGCAGAAATAACGCAGGCTGGTTTCCTAAGAACTTGTGATCTTTATTCATCGAATCATAGAATGGTTTAGGTTGGAAGCGACCTTAAAGATCATCTAGTCCCAACCCCCCTGCCATGGACAAGGACACCTCCCACTAGACCAGGTTACTCAAAGCCCCATCCAGCCTGGCCTTGAACACTTACAGGGATGGGGCATCCACAACTTCTCTGGGCAACCTGTTCCAGTGCCTCACCACCTTCAGAGTGAAAAATTTCTTCCTAATATCTATTCTAAATC